CTGATAAATTCCTAGGATCATATGTAATTTCTTCTTCTTCAGTTTTATATCACCTGTCCTCTATTGGTGTCCTTTGCATAAATCTTTATTTTTCTAGCTATTATAAGGTGTGATTTTAAAGATGTCTATAAATACACCTGTACTGCTGCTACCAGGTGGCTGTTGCGCTGCAGTTTCAGGGAAGGATTTTACCTTTGGGTAGTCACTTTTAGCACAGTCCTTCTGAACACGCACACATGCGCATGGAGGAACCGCAGAATTTGGTAGCAGCAAGATGTGATGCTAGTGTGACTTACAATGCAACCCTTTCATTCAGAGATACTGTAAATATCATCTTTGTTGTGTCATTTGAGATGGTGAAGCCAAGCAAGTAGAGCTTATGGAAGCTGCTTATGATCCAGGGTTTGGAGCAGTCACTTCACCTTTTGTTTTCCATAAAGCTTTGAAAAGAAATACTTAACACTGACTTGCTCACATCTCTGAGTAGTCTTGTGCTGATGTGGGTCAATCAGTGGATTCCTGAGTCTTTAAAAGTTGGCTGTAGGCATTGATGGGGCTTCAACTTGCTATGACCAGAGAAGCAAAACAGTAAGACTTGTTTGTAAATGCTTTTCTTTGGAAGCTTTAATTCTTTGGCTGTGACAGCTGATGCAGCAACAGGTTCAGGTCAGATTAAATGGGGTTTGTATTTGGTTTGTGGGCAAAAATAGGTTTTAAGTTTAATGCAAAATATTAAACAAACCCACAATTTTTTTAACTTACTTTTTTTTTTAATAAGCAGAAGGAGCTTTTCCTCCCTTTGCTCATGCTGTCTGCAGTAGATCCCTCTGTTCTCCCCATCAGGATTGATGTTGGAGCGGGAGAGGGCTGACTCCAGAGCTGGATGCACACTCCAGCTGGGGCTCACCACAGCAGAGTAAAGGGACAGAATCAGCTCCCTTGACCTGCTGGCCCTCTGGATGCAGCCCAAGATAGGGCTGGTCTCTGAGCTACAAGTGCACATTGCCCACTCATGTCCAGTCTCTCATCCACCGGTATCCCCAAGCCCCTCTCCTCAGGGCTGCTCTCAAACTTCTCCCATTTCAGCTGGGCCTAAATTACTCGTACTTTAATACCAGGGATGTGCAGTAGGTTTTATCTTCTGCTGCAAGATCCTGCTTCGCTGATAGAAGACCTCAGCTAAATCTGTGTTACGAGTTTAAATGTGGTTTGCAGTGCAGCGCTCCAGAAATATCCTTTGAAAGGTAACTGCAGCCCTGCAGCCGTTAGCCGGCTTCTCCCGTCCTCTCCCTCCTATCCCGGGATCCTCGCTTCTTCCCCGTTTCCAGGCTTATTTAGTTGAAATTGTTCCATGCATAGCCAGGAAAATGGGAGGTGATAGAAATTTCCAGCTTGAACGGCAAAGGGGGTTGCAGGTGGGTTATCTGCTGGAAGTTTTTGTGGTCTTTGGAGCCTACTGAGAGCTGCCATCGGATCGTCAGCGCTCTGAAGACCTCCTTAGCTGAGGAGTTAGTTTTCTCTGGCAGCAGTTCTGCCTTTAGAAATTCGTGACTAGTTTTCAGCCCTGCGCCATACAGCGTGCGTTTCCATTGCGATTCCTTTGTGGGGAGAAATCCTTTAACATGAAGGTGAAGAGCTGTTCTGAACCACAACAGAATGTTGGTGGGGGCAGAGGGGTGGATGGGTGTTCCTGTGCAGGGTGTTGGTGGTAGCAAGGGCATTGTGGCCTGGGGAACCTGATTGAATGGGCTTCTGACTTGACTGGTGATGGGTGAGAGCCTCCCTGTGCTTTCTTCCCATGCCAGCCCCAGTGCAGCTGCGAAGGAGACCCTGCTCAGACCTCCTGAGCACCCCAGCACTTCTGGTCTTAACTGCACATTACATCAAAGGACCGGTTGCTTGCTGAGCTTTGGGCTGCGTGCTTGGTGAAGTGGCCTGCTTCCCTGAAACCTGACTGCAGCAAGAGACCTATAGATCATAGAATCCTACAATGGTTTAGGTGGGAAGGGACCTTAAAGCTCCTCCAGCTCCAACCCCTGCCACGGGCAGGGACACCTTCCACTAGAGCACCTTGCTCCAAGCCCCTGTGTCCAACCTGGCCTTGAACACTGCCAGGGATGGGGCAGCCACAGCTTCTCTGGGCACCCTGTGCCAGCGCCTCAGCACCCTCACAGGGAAGAGCTTCTGCCTAAGAGCTCATCTCAGTCTCCCCTCTGGCAGGTTAAAGCCATTCCCCTTGGCCTGCTTCTCCCAAGCTGCACCGTCCAATTCTCTGGCTCAGAAATGGCTCCTGCTGGTTGGTGTGACAGGGCAATGGCTGGCACAGGGGGATGGGAAAGGAGAAGCTCTTGACATAATCCAAATTGCATTGCCTTGGGCTTTGAAATGATGACAGAAAATTTTCCTCCTCGCATTTGTTCTCATTTGGCTGCAGCATGTTCAGCAGGATGTTTTTCAAGGAGGGTCCGGTCAGTGTTGGCAAAGGAAAGTCTCTTGTTTCCCAGGCATCCTTATCACTTTGTCCTTGACGACGATGGGAACTTTCGGCACATTTCTTTAATTCAGAGACACTCCTGAGCCCGCCTGCCCTTGCAGCAGCTCTGTGCTGCCTTTCCTGTGTGCTGAGTCACACAGGCAGATAAAGCTTTCCCAAAACGTTGTTGGCTTTGCAGATGTTAGACCTGGGAAAGTTGGGTGGGAGGCGGAGGAGGGTTAATGTCTGAGCTATGGACTGAGCAAATCCTGCAGCTCAAATACAGCACCTGCCATCACTTGGGAAAATGTCTTCTGGTGTAGGATGAACAATAACATCTTGATATTATAAGCAACTTCACAAATCTGGAGAGGTTTGTCTGGAATAGAGCAGGTTTGATGGGGTGATGCTGCCTAACCACAGGAGTGCTGAGCGGTTTAGATCCACAGGATAAAATGGAGGCTGCACATGCAGAGAAGCAGCTGATGGTTGCCCTCTGCCCTCCCTTCATGTGACTACGTGATGGTTTAGGCTGTGGGACATGGGTGAGGAGCTTGTATTGAAAGAAAGATCTTTCTTGTATTTTCAAAGTACAAGGTTTTGTAGGTGCTGATGCAGTCTTACATAGGGATATGCTGGAGATGACAGAGTGCTTTTGAGGCAGCCTTAAAATGCGTGCATCAAAAGGGTGATGCTTCAGTCTCCCAACTCTCTGGGAGATTAAAGCCTCAAAAAATTTCCTTTGTGCCTTCAGAACTTCTGATTTGGGGATTGTTATCTGTACCTATGATCAAACTGGTTTTATCTCTGTATCTAGCTACAGTGCTTGGCACTTGGTCAGGTTTGAGGACGTAAGCAGCCTGCCCAGCTAACACACCTTCCAACAGCTAACACCTGCTGCTGCAGGCAGGGGGGTTGTGGAGGAAACCGTCCCCTTTCAAGTGCTGGTGTAAAGGCAATGGCCAGCTGAGATGTATGGGTGCTCCTGAGAAGCTGCAAGAACTAATGGCACCTATTGGCACTACCCTTGCAAGCCCAAGGGTTTCTTCTACTGTCACAGGGAGGTTTTGGAGGTCCAAGGAATGTCAGTTTTTGTGTCATCCTCTTTTTCTTAGAGGAGATACTTGGGAAGTTTCTTGTTTGAAGGAATACCTGAAAGATTAATTAATAAGGGCCTTGTCCTTTTGATAGGACTTTAACCCTTAACCAGCATGGAGACGGGGTTGTGATGCATAAAAATGAACACAAAAATAGTGTGTCTTGCTCACTGAACACTGTGTTTTAACTTCTGCTTTTGTTTACGGTGCATTAAACTTGGACGCTCCAGCAGTGCTGCTGCACAGGGATGCAGTGTGGGATGTGCTGGGGTGGCATGGCTGCTGTCCACAGCCTGGTCCCAAAAGACAAGCTAGATTTATTAGGGCAGTGATCAGTAGTGGGGAAAGTGCTAGAAGTCTAACCAGAGCAATGTGCCTTGCAGTGGCATTCAGGTTTTGGCCGCTGTCCTCCTGATTTATCATGCACAAAAGAAGCCATTCCTACCTGCAGAGTAGAAGGCAGCTCAAAGGTGATGTGTTCATGCACTCAGCAAGAAGCCCTGGCTGTGTATTGCAAGAAAATTAGAGCGTAACAGTCAGCAAGAAAGAAACTTGGTACCTTAATGTGGCTTCTAATTTTCAATGTTAAAAACCCCAACCCACCAACCACTCTTGGCATAAGCCTTTTACCTGCTTTGATTTCCAGGGCAAAATTAAAGTCAGCAGTTGCGTGAGGCTGAGGTTGGCTTAAAAGTTTCCTTTCTCTGTTAAAAATAGATGTAGGAAAAATTTTGCTCCCTTTCCTTTTCACAGAAGATCATCTGGGCTGCAGGCAGAGCTGCCATCTGTACAGCTTAGTAATGGAGCCAAGGTAGGACCTTGTATTATAGAATCCCAGCCTGGTTTGTGTTGGAAGGGACCTTAAAGCTCCTCCAGTTCCAACCCCTGCCACAGGCAGGGACACCTTCCACTAGAACAGCTTGCTCCAAGCCCCTGTGTCCAAGCTGGCCTTGAACACTGCCAGGGATGGGGCACCCTCTGTGGTTCCTTGGTTGGGACTGCACCAAATGCGCTTAAAGTATTTATGGAGGTGGTGATTCTGGACTTGTTTCAATGACTATGCAATGGCCAAGCATTGAGATGCTCTGCTCCAGGGACTGAAATTGCAGACTTCCTATAGCATACGCACTAATTCTCTTACTTTGGTTAGTGTTTGCTTTTGTGGGTACCTAGACTGATCCTGCTGTTTCAGACTATATATTTTATCTCTGTTCTTGCAGTGGAGGAGTGCACTGAGTCTGAAGTTGAGGCCTCTTGCATAGTATTTCCCAGGGTTTGGACCTTGCAGCACATGTGGAGCACTGGTCTGGCATACTGGAGGACAGAAGGATGCAGCTGGTTTCCATTTTGGAGCCTCCAGCAGGAGCATGCTTGTTGAGCAGTGATGCTGCGGGGCTCAGAGGTTAATGCTTGTGTTTCTCTTTCTGCAGAGATCATCGACGACCTCACTAACCTGGTGGAAAACACAGATGACAAGCTTCGCACCCAGACGCGGCACGTGAAGATGGTGGACAAGAAATCAACGTCCTGTGGTAAGAAATGGCTTGAGCACAAATCCTGCCCTGTTTTTAAATGATGGGAAAGTAGCTTTAGCACTCAGAGGCTGTGTGCAAGGCGCTCCCCCCAGGGGCAGCTTCTTTGAAGAGTGAGGAGAACCCACGTCTCCAAACAGCCAATACTGTAGGTTTCACTCACTGCGTTTGCTGCATGTTGATACAGTTCATTTCCTTAAGCCATTTGACACCAGCATTGCACAATATTCTGATTGGAAATTGTAGAGCTGTATGAAATGAGAGCAGTATATGTTGATGAACTTTAGCAAAACTTGCTAGCTCCCAGCTCTCGCAAACTGGCCATAGTGGGAGTGATGCCACAGGGACAGTTCTGGTGGTGTCCTGCAGGAATGTTTTCTCAACCAAGAGGCATTCAGACATGAAATCACAGCTGGTGACTGTGTGCAAGCTGGTCAAGCTAAATTGTTGCCCCGTTCCATAGAGAGGGTGTGCATCTCAGGCGAGTGAATGCAGGTTTCCTCTGTGGGATGAAGAGCTGGGGGGTTGACAGCAATGACTGTGGGTGATGGCAGAAAACGTCTTTTTGTTGGGAGGACAACTGACAGGAGTGAAGTCTGTGGGAAGGTGGTGGTAGCGAGACACTTGTGTCTTACTGCGTGTCTGGTTCTGTGTCTGTGGCTTATTTTTGCTGTACTAGAAGGCTCAAACTGCTAACAAGGGTAATTTATGCTCTGTAGAAATTTGACTTCTGGCCAGAAGTTCATGAAATTTGATTCATGTAGTTTAGGAGAGAGAAAGTTGAGAGCTGACTTGATCATGTGTCTGTTTTAGACTGGTGGGGAGCTTTTATTCTGTAGTGTGATGGTCCCAGCAGCAAAAGCTACTGAGCTCTGCCTGGCAGTGAGGCATGTTCCACGCAGTGACAATGTATTTCAGGGATTTATTTAGTTCTTCATCAGTGGTAACTTTTTGAAAGCTTGGATGATAAAGGTTGATGAAAATCTGTGACTTCTTCTAGAGGATGAAGTTGACTTCCCAGAGGTGTTTGTCTCCAGTGTCTCCTGTAGCAGCTACGGATAGAATTGAAGTTGTGGCTGCAGAGTTCATGACCGAAGTTTGAATTTTAGATCTTGAATGTTGATGCAAGATGGATTTAATCTAAAACCACTTGCACTTGAATGCTGCAGAGTGCCCCTGCGGGCCTTTGGAGTCTCCCCTTAGTTCCTGTGCTTTTATTTTCTGCATGAGTACAGAGAAGCACAAAGTGAATCCCGTTTCATACTGGACAGCTTCTCCCTCCTTAGGTATTTCTATCCGGTTTTTAGGTTCTTCATGCAAATGCAGCCCCCAGACAATGACAGTGTTGCTGGATAATGAGCCTGTCTCTTTAACTCTGAAGCCCATGCTGGCTGCTGGGGAATTTGAGAGGAGGAGGAGGATGGGAGAGGCGAAGGCTGGGAGGATCCTGGCTGGATTCCTTGGGGGTGACCTCTCTCACCCTTTCCACATTGAAAAACATTTTTTCTGCAAGGGATGGTGAGAAGTGCTGCACTCGGTGCCGGTTCCCTCTGCTCCAATAGGTCTTCCTGTGTTTGCATAACAATTTGGGCATATGTAAACACTCTTTTGCCTCAGATAGCAGCTGTATTCTGCCTGAGCATGAGGTTAAGAACAATAAAGCTGGAAGACACAGGCTTTAATGGCATTCTTCCCGTCCCTTTTCCACCCTTATCCCTGGCGCTGAAAGTTAACTTGTATATTAAGATCAGAAAAACCCTCCGTGTATGTACAGTTATTCCTTGAGCAAAGCCAAGCAGTGGGAAAACTGGCACCTGCTAGGTAATTCTCTCCCCCTAACCCAATGTGTAATTTAAATCAATAAAATCTCTTTGGTTTGGGCATGCTCCTTTGGTTTTAAACTGCGGTGAAATGCTTAGTCTCCCCCCTTGCCCACCCTTTCCTTCCCCAGGATGCAGATATTTGCTAGGACCTGGTCTCTGCACTATTCAGGCATGTGCCTGTTTCCGTGTTTTTGCCTCATTTTTGAAATCAAAATGTATTTTTTTTTTAATGGTGAATGCCTGTACTGGAGCCACTGGCTGTGGATACAAGCGGAGCAGCCTGGCTTGAATAGTGGAATAATCACCCTTTTACAAGGAAGAATGCAACGCATTGATGGGTGTGTCTTTGTTAGCAGCCAGTATAACAATAAAATCAAAATATTGCTGATGAAACCCAATTTCAATCAATGTTTCAACATCTTGCTCTCATGCAAACATTATTTCAAGCTTTGGAGGTTGTTTCCAGTGACTGGCGTGATTTATATTGGAGCCGTCCAGCCTGGTGCTACCTCCTCAGCATAGGCATCACTTGGTGCAAGACATTGCAGAGAGCAGCACCCGCACCTCTGGCCCTACTCAGTCCTGGCAGAAGCCTTCAGATTGTTTGGGGTGGTTTGTTCCGTTTGCAGCTTATTCTCAAGGCTTATTTCTCTTGCTGATTAGAGCTGTTGACAGTCCCACCCCTTGCTTCTGCCCAGTGAAGGCTGCCCGGGTTGGAACCCATCTCGGTTGGTGGCCCCAGGCAGCCCCAGACTGGGGTCAGTGGCAACTCCCAGTAATTGCAGCAGAAGAATAATCCTGGGATATGCTCAAATCTGCTGCATTTATGAAATTATTGTTGAAAATAACTGGTCATTTGCAGGCAAATGTTTGCATGCTGTTTGGCATTGTTTTATTTCTTTTCCGCATACGCTGGATATTTAGGAGGGATGTTGAGTGTATGTATTTCTTAGACTTCAGAAATAGGCTGAGGCCAATTGTCTGAGGTTCAGCAAGGCTCAGTGCCAGGACCTGCACTTGGGTCACAACAACCCCATGCAATGCTCCTGGCTTAGGGAAGAGTAGCTGGAAAGCTGCTTGGTGGAAAAGGACCTGGGAGTGCTGATTGATGGAGCTGACCATGAGCAGTTTGTGCCCAGTTAGCCAAGAAGGCCATCAGCATCCTGACCTGTATCAGCACCAGTGTGGCAGCAGAGCAAGGGCAGTGTTCATCCCCCTGTACTGGGCACTGGTGAGGCTGTACCTTGAATCCTTTGTTCACTTCTGGGCCCCTCACTACAAGAGAGACATTGAGGAGTCTGCCAAAAGTCCATGGTTCTTTCTGCCTGCAATGGGCCTCATCCCAGAGGAGGAAGTCTGTCATTGTCCACAGCTACGTCTGGCTTATCTGGATGATGCTTTTTGGTAACTGTCCCCCATCCTTGAGTTTTGTAGATTGTATTTTTTCTTTTTTGCCTAAAGACATAGGTAGTCAGCTCCCTGCAGAGAGGATGGTTAAACCAGGCTTTGGTTATGATAAGAGCATCCTGAAGTGTTTGTGTCTGAATCAGATACAGGGATTTTAGTAACAGAGGACACAGCTGGGAGCCTGATTCCCAGATGTGACATACACAGAGGCTGCTGCAGCCAAGAACAGAAATGTTCTTCAGGTCTTGCTAAACCTGGCTTGTGAACCATGGCTCTGGGAGGTGATCTGGGGAATCAGAGTTGTCCTACTCCTGATCACAGAGCCATAGAATCTTGTTTGGGTTTGGAAGGGATCCTAAAGATCATCATCACCTAAAGTTCCAACTCCCTGCCATGGGCCTGCCCAAGGCACTCCTTTAGGTGACTCTCCCATAGCTGAGGAGGGAGGCTGGTGTCCTGGGGAAGCAAGACAGAAGATTATGATTGTCATAATAAAAACAAACGAAAAAGAGCAAACTCTTATTTCTGACTTACCCATCTCCTTCCAAGCAGTGTGAGGAAAGCAGACCATGTCTTTGCAGTTAGCACTGTGTGGATCCCTCTAACCTTCCAGATAAATGAGGAAAATGAGTACCTGTGTCCTGGGAAATAAACACTTGCAGAGTGGTGCCTGAGCAAGTTTGTTCCTCTCTTTCTTTTTCTCCTATTCCACAAGATGGCATTGCAATCTAATCACCTTCCCCAGCCCCAGGTAGATGCTCTCATCTCCCCTTTGCTTTCTGATGCAGGTTTTGGGAGATACTGAGTAAATTTGGTTGGTACCAGGTAGGGGTTTTTTTAATCTTAGCAAATTGCCAAACGACTGGATTAAAGACAAAGCTTTGCCAAGCCTTTAATAGGGTTTTTAGGAAGATTTAATTTGATTTTAAACAGAGTAGCCTGGATTATATAAGGTTTCCTCTAGAAAAGAATGATTCATGCAGGCTGAGACCTTCTTCTGCCAGATTCTACAATCACTCTGTTCTGAGTTACGGGGTTTTTGCCGTGGATGTAATTTGGTTCATAAATTACGGGTGGCAGTTGCTTAGGTTTGTTCCTCTGACGTTCGCTGTGTGTTTAGATGAGCAAGTCCCCATCCATTTAGTTGGTTCTCAGTGGAGAAGCTGGTGCAACGTGCCATTAAATCAACTTTTCCTGCAATCCGACTCTCGGAGCAGTTACACTGATCTTCCTCCCCAGTGTTGCTCTGACAACTGCACTGGCTCTGAGTCACCTGTCTCTGCTTCTATGGGATGAGTTCTCTTGGCCTGGCAAGTTACACATTTTCCTGATTTATAATTTTTTTTTCCCTTCCTTTGCTTTCTTCCATCCTAAGCAGTTACACATTGAAAAGCTTGTTCTGAGCTGTTACCCTGTGAGGAAGCTTCGAAAAGAAACTTTAACAGAAGAACAATGAATCTGTTGTTTAAATTTGGTTCGTCTCTGGTGGATTGGGCATGTCTTAAACACACCACTGTTTCCATCATCCCCAGAGCAAAGCAGCCCAGGGAGGTGGCTGAGGGGGCTAAACAGAAGACAGAGTTTCATCTGGGCTTTTCTGTCTCCTCATTCCCTTCTTCTGCAGTGCTCACTTGCTGCCAGCCTGCCAGGGAATGCCAGGAGGCCAACAGATCTCGCTGCAGGATCTGAAAGAAATGCTACAGAGGGGAGACTGAGATGAGCTCTTAGGCAGAAGCTCTTCCCTGTGAGGGTGCTGAGGCGCTGGCACAG